AACTCCTTTTTCGAACAGATCAGGAAACAGAAAGCAAGGTGGAGATTTATTGGGGTTGCATATGACTTAACAGCAGAGCTGACAAAGCACCAGAATACCCCAATCCAGGTCCAAGTTGCTGACTGGAGACAGTCTGATCTACTCTAGGCTGCTCCCAACACCCTCTGAGAAAGCTCAGGGTAAGACGCGAGATGTTTGGTATGTGCTGATAGTCACAGAGTGTGGCAGTGCAGATAGGCGAGAGAAAAGGAGACTCCTCCAGGAGTAGAGACTAATCTCCAGTGCAATCTAATATTCTATTCCATAGGGGAACGGGATGCCTTGAACAGTTATTGTCCTTAAGGAGTTACAGGAAAGTTTGAATAAATTGTACAAACTTTCCCACCTCAGCCTGAGAGATGGCTCAGCAGGCAAAGGCCCTTGCTGCCAAACATGACCACATTCAATCTTTGGGGTCTACATGGTGGAAAGAGACAACAAACTCCTACATGTTGTCCTCTGACCAACAGAGGTGCACTGTGGCAAGCATATTCACACAAGCACACAAAAACAAAATTTGTGAAAAAAGCAATAATACTCTCTCACCTCTGGTCTTACCCCTGGCACCCCATTTACGTCCTCACTGTAACTCATGTTCTAAAACACAAATCTGTAGCTAGGGTTCAGAGGCAGAATGCTTTTCTGGTATGCATAAGGCCTCAAATTATAATATAGATAATAATAATATAATAAAAGCAAATAAAACACAAATCTGAGCCAGGCATTGTGGTGCATATCAGTAATCCCAGCACTCAGGAGGTAGAAGCAGGAGGACCAGGGATTCAAGGTCATCCTCAGCTACACAGTGTTGACAAAAAGCATAACTCTCATCTCAAAAGGAATAAAATATAGTTTATTCTGAAGCCAGGCATGGTGGCATATGCCTTTAATCCCAGTACTTGGGAGGCAGAGTCAGGCAGATATCTGTGAGTTTGAGTCCAGCCTGGTCTACATAGTGAGTTCTGGCTAGCTGGGGCTATAGGGAGACCCTGTCTCAAAAAGACCAAAAAAAAAAAAGAAACCCCCAAAAAAGTTTATTCTGGAGCCAAATATGAGTGACCGTGGCTCAGGAACACAGATTCAAGTTACACCAAATTCCATGTTCCATTGTGGAAGAAGTTTGTTTCATGAAGTTTTTATAGTAACAGAACAAAGAAAAGTCATAAATGAAGACACTTTTCAAATACATTGATGGATCCATTCAGTAGGCAGGTTGTAGCAAAGGTGGGGGGTTGTTTCTACTATAGGTCTCAGATGCTATCTGATGACATTCTTAGCTTTTTGGTTGGTGGGACACGGTGATTTGTTAATAAATACCTTTCAAACAGGTTTCTATCTGTTAGTCATGGATGTTAGGTTGGAAACAGAAGTGGGCAAGGAAATGGCTATTTAGTGGCTAAAGATAGCAAGAGATATATGGCAGTTAGGCTCTGGACCTGCAACATTCCAGACTTTCCACAATCTCAGAGCTCTGATCAGTTAATCGGCCTTGCAGAAGAAAGTTCAGTGTGAAGAGCGCAAGTTTTTTCTGGGAACTTTTTTTCCGCAATAGTGAGTCAGCCTGAGCTACTGAAGGCCTTGTCCCCAAAACAAAACAAAACAAAACAAAACAGCAAAAACAAAAGAAAAACAAGCTGGCATGGTGGGACACACCTTTAATCCTAGTACTTGGGAGGCAGAGGTAGACAGATCTTTGTGAGATGGAAGCCAGCCTGGTCTACACAGTAAGTCCCAGGTCAGCTGGGGCTACAGGGAGACCCTGCTCAAAAAGACCAAAAACAAAAAAGCAAAACAAAACAAAAAACTTTCAGTAGCTCCCACTGCTGAAGGATGAGAAGTCTAGCTCCTTAACTCAGCCCATTTTTCCTAAGATCACCTCCTCTCCTCAGCCCATTCATGATCCCTCCTTAAGCTCCCTTCCTTCCCTCCAGTTCTTCAAACACACCAACCCATTGGCACCACACACCTTGATATATCCCTCACTGGAGCAGCTGAAAATGGGTTTGTATCTGATTTCCCTCTCTCACACATAACCAAATCCTCAGAACCTTGAATACTCTCATTATCACCTTTGTCAGTGACCAGGCTCCTGTGATTGCTAAGAACTGACCTTCGTTTAGCAGAGGATAAGTTGGTCTCAGCTCTTTTTTCTTTCCCTTCTTTTCCTCCCTTTCTTCTCTTTCCTTCCTTTCTTAGGAGACAGCATCTCACCCTGTGGCTGTCCTTGAGCCCAAGGTGGTCCTCCTGCCCTCAACCTCTGAGTGCTGGGATTATAGGCATAAACAACCACTCTTGGCTTTGGTCCTCAGCTCTTGCTGTACCCTTGACCCATGAGAAGCCAATGGGAAAATCTGAGCAGACCCCACAACAGATGACCAGAGACTAGCACTCCACATTCCTATCCTAGTCTCTTTCCTCCAGGGCATCTCCTCCACTTTACAAAAGCTCCTCCCAGTGGTCCTGGTCCCCATTGACTGAATGGCCTTGTTTAAACCACTTACTTCTCTGGGCCCCCAACTCAGACTTGTCTTTGACTCTAGGACAGAGAAGAGAAATGTCTTTCTTGGGGAGCGTGAGGAGGAGGTGAGCTAGGGGCTGGACAGGTCCTCACCTATGGGCAAGAGGTAGTTTCTACAACTAAGCTGGACATTGGCAAGTGACTATCTGGCATGTCTCAGGTTCCTAGGGGAGGGGGTGGGTTAAGGGTCTCTGCAACCCCCCTTAAGCTGTCTTCCCTGGCATAACATACCAGGGCCTGGTCCAGCCCCGTCTTTTTTTTTTTTCCCCAGGGGAGAGTGCGAACACAGTCCCCTACTACCACAAATTATGCAGTCGAGTTTGAGAAAATCACAGAGGTCAGCACATCCCAAGTGCAATAGATGAGCCTCACCCTGGGAAAACCACCTTCCTGATCATGGTGTCTCCCCTGCCAGGTAAGTATGAGCCCCCTCTTTTTAAAAAGTGTTTTATTATTATTATTTCACATGTATGAGTATATTGCTTTCATGTGTGTAAGTGCATCTGTGTCATACAATGCCTACAGAGGTCAAAAGAGGGCGTCAGATTCCCCTGCAATTGGAGTTATGGATAGTTTTTAGCCACCATGTGGGTGCTGGGAATCAATCCCAGGTCCTCTACAAGAGCGGCCAGTTCTCTTAACTGCTGAACCATCTCTCCAGCTCCTGTCCCTTCTTTACTACCCCTTTTGCACTTCCTGATTCTCGCCTGTGGCTCACAGAGCTGTGCCTGCTCTCACACCTCTGCCAGTTGCTCCAGCTGCTCCTTCATCTGGGAATGTCCTGACCACCTCAGCTTCTCAACACCTATCTGTTCTCCAGAATTCCATTTGAGAGGCACATGCAGATACAGGTGCTGCTGTGGTGTAGTGAGCTTGGGTGGCATGCCCCAACCAGCCCTTAGTTCAGATCGGGAAAGTATTCATGGCTCCTTTTACTTGAAAATCATGCCCAGAGCTTCATGTCCAAAGGGAGAATTTCAAGTTAGCCACAGAGCCACCCCCAGTCATGATGGCAAAGAAGGACCAAGTGGATGATTCATGAATTTGCAGAGCTAAGGTAATCTAACACATCCAGGAGAAAGTTGTTATCCCTGAGAAGTGGCCATTTGGAGATCTGATTTCTGACTCAGCCATATGCTTGATAATTCAAGGATTGATTCTGGTGGAAGGGTTTGTCTAGAGGTCCTCATAGACCATCAAAGTGTGTGGAGACCATCCCTCCACGTTGCTGTATTGACCCCTACTGAGCCGCTCATGTCAGAACCCAACTCTGATGACCTGCTGACGGCTGACATTTCCTCAGAAATTAAATACAAATGCCAGTCTACCTCAAGAATGGCAGACAGTGGACAGAGAATTGTGCACCACAGAATCAGAGGGTGGATGAAGAAGAGATGCTTCACCCGAGGCCAGTGATACCAAAGTGCACAACATGGAAGGCAGGCCAGATGGCTGGGAAGTGTAGACAAGAAATTACACCATGAAGTTCAGGGAGTTTAGCCTAGTCCTCTTAGTTAATGGATTCTTTGACAAGGTGATATCATTTGCTCCTTAACTTTTGTAGCCTACTAACAACCTTGTGTGTTTATATATGGGCATGCAGGGATCTCGGGGCACCAGCTGCTGGGCATGGCGCCGGTCTCCTGTGTGCACCTGGGGTATGGCGGGTCCCGCACCGTGTTGCCGTGGGTCTCTGCTACCGGAGCTGGCGGCTCTAGGACCGCTGTCAGCTGCCTGGTTGGGTTCTGTTTCAATTTCCACCATGCACTCTCCCTCTAAGTTCCAGACCTGTTGGCCACCAGGTCACGAGGGGAGGTGTGAGAAACGGCGAAAGCAGGGTCTTCGTGAGTCGATGGTCGATGCCCACCCCCCCGGGGACTGGATCACAGGATT